CTTACTGAAATATCCGGACCGATTTCGGTCCGGATAGTATATATATACGAACCGATTCTACATCGGTCTGTATATTAGACTTATTCGTACCAGGTTTTTTCAGATCAACTATAAGGACCAATATCGGTCCGGATATGTATATTCAGACCGATTTCCTATATATCCGGACCGATATTTCGGTTCGGAAATCCCATTCCTGCAGTAGTGATCAAGGGTAGAAGCTTTTGGACACTCAACACACCAGTTGATGAATCCTCAAGTTGGAGGCATATAGCGAAGGGACTTATCCAACACATGTCAGGTGATGGCACAAATATTTACATTTGGCATGACCATTGGCACCCCTCTGGGTCATTAATTGATGCATATGGTAGTAACATTATTAGGGATGCAGGAATCCCATTTCAAGCAAAGCTAGCAAGTGTGATTAATGGAAATTTTTGGTGGTGGCCTCCTATGAGATCTCCTCAATTATTTCAAATCCAGATGCACTTCTTTGACATGTTCTCCAAAGAAGGTGAGAAAGATACGGCAGAATGGAGACCTTCAAATTTTGGAAATTTCAAGACTAGACACACTTGGAATTGGCTAAGGAGGAAGAAGACTAGGAAGGTGTGGCATAGATTGATATGGTTCTCTTAAGCAATACCTAAACATAGCTTCATTAGTTGGCTAGCTATTCTCAACAGGCTAAGCACTAAAGCTTGGCAAAGAAAGTGGACTCCCACAATTGTTGATACTTGTGTTCTATGCAATAGTGAGCCAAGGACAAAGTGAGCACTTGTTCTTTAAATGCAGCTACACACAGAAGATTTGGAAAACACTTAGTGTTATGGCAAGCATTCCCCTAACTAATTCATGGCAAGGTCTATTGTGTTGGATAGAGAAAAAGATTAGTAGAAAGTCCTACAAAATACTCTTGTTAAGTTAGCATGGAATGCAACAGTGTACCACACATGGAGGGAAAGGAACAGGAGGATCCACCAAAAACATTTTAAAACTGATGGTGAGATTGTATATGAAGTTCGGTTTGATGTTAGGTACAAAATCTTGGGATTTGCTTGATCACAGTCTTCTCCCTTGCCTATGGATATATTGCTAAGCAATGGGGGCTAGAAGATGTTGTGAAGGAATAGATTGGTGCAATTTTTGCTAGTTTGTTTTGGGAAAATGTATTTTTCGTAGCAGCTAATTTGCTGCTTACTGTACAATTAGTTTATGGATAGTAAATTTTATATTTTATCCAAAAAAAAAAAAAAATTGGGTTCATACTTTATGTCGACACTGTTCTTTGAATTTGGCTATCCGAAATTTTGTTTCTAGTGTTGATGTTCATATCCAAGGTTCTCCCTAGTCGCAAAAAAAGGGGAGAGAGGAGAAAGGAAGGAGAAGAGAAAAGAATT